TTTAAAGATCCCTGGAATAAAGCTCTCTAATGTTTCCTTAGCTCTCTTTGCACTTGTGATGGGATGTGCCACGTACTGTATAGCAAAGTGCACACTCTGGAGGGTGGTCAGCCCTGAATTGTGCTGTCAAAATAATACCTGATGTTACCGCTCTGCTCCAGGCACTGCTGCATTCTCTAGTTTGTATCTGGGAATTCAGGGAGAGAAGCACAGAAGAAAGCAGAAAGAGAACACATTTCCATGGTCTTTAAAGCAGTCCTTTCCGAGACTAATAGGCTCTTTTGTCTAAACGTATTACATTAATGATTTGAAGTGAAATATCGTTAGCACCCTCTTACAGTTAAAGGAAAGGATCAGTGCGGTGCCCCTCAGCACATCAAGGGAAGCATCAGAACAGAAGACGGGTTACAGCATCTCTCACTGACAACCGGGAAGGACCCATTTACCATAACAAGGCAAACTTCCCTGCAGGCTTTCAGAGTCATCAAAGACCACCCTTCCTGTCCAACCCTGTTACCACCTCTCTCCCTTAACTTCCATTGTTGTCAAGGTGTTTTTTTGTTTGTTTGCTTTTGTTGTTTCTGTTTTGGCAAGTAATATAAATTTAAATCAAACCACTGTAAGGAAAGAAAAGGAGATATATTGGTTCCTTATAACTGAGCAGTATAAGGGTTGGGAATGGCTTCAAGTATAGCTGGATTCAGGAGTCCAAATGATGTCATCTGGGCTCCTTGCCCCCTCCTTCTCTGTGATCCCTACTTTCCTTTGGGACATATTCTCTGTCCAGATCTCGCCACATAGAGGCCAGGATTGCCCCCTCAGTTTACACTCTTCATGGCTTATGATTTAGAGAAAATGTCATTCCCCCAAGGGTTCTGTAGCAAAACTGGAGGGGAGATTCTGATTGGCCCAGCCAGGTTATGAGTCATAGCTGATGAGCCCACCCCTCAGCCAATCACAGTGACCTGGAAAATGCAGTGTGCTGGGATTGGCCCATGAGGGTCACATGCTCACCCACCTGCTGCTGGTGGTGGTGGTGCTGGCAGGAAGAATGAACTCTTGCCCAATAAGGTAGGGTGGGTTCTCTTAAAAAAGAGGGTTCCAGGGCTTCCCTGGTGGCACAGTGGTTAAGAATCCGCCTGCCAACGTAGGGGACATGGGTTCAAGCCCTGGTACGGGAAGATCCCACGTGCTGCGGGGCAACTAAGCCCGTGTGCCACAACTACTGAGCCCGTGCACCTAGAACCCACCTCAATGAGAAGCCCGTGCACCGCAACAAAGAGTAGCCCTTGCTCACCACAACTAGAGAAAGCCCGAGCGCAGCAATGAAGACCCAATGTGGCCAAAAATAAATAAATAAAATACATTTATTTAAAAAAAAAAAAAAAGAGGGTTCCTAGTACTAGAAGTGGAAATGTGTGTCCAAAATGACAACTCAGGTGACGCTCCCTTCTCGGTCTGTCCCATGACTCCTCCCCTCTCCCACACTTTGCTTACACATGCCTCAGGGCCTTTGTGTGGCTCTAATCCCCGCCTTTTCTCCACTTTCCTAAACCCAACCAGGCCCCTCAGGGCTGAACCCATAATGACACTCAGAAAGTACTTTATGGGTTCTTTTGGGAGCCAGTAGAACACTGAAGAGGTTTCACAAGGGAGACAGATCCTTTGTTGATTTGAAGACAGGTATCCTAGCTACGTATCTTCATCATGCTTCTGTGAGACTCTGTGCTGGTCAAGGCTTTTTAGTTGAAAGGATCAGAGAGACCCAGGAGTTAGTATAAATGAAAGGGCGGTGGGCTCAAAGGAGTCGAGGGCATCTCCTGGAACCAGAGAACAGCTAGCTGAACCCAGAGGACTCTGGAAGCCCTGGGGCTCTAAGATGAGACCAGTCCTGCTGGTGGTCCGGGGAGAGACGGCCTCCCGGCCTCGTGTCTGTCTGTCTGCTCGGTGCTCCTGCCTCCTTCAGCTGCCTGTGTCTGATTGCTCTTCACTGTGCTCTCTGGGAGAGGTGGCGGGCTGGCGTCGGCACCTTTTAGTTCCCATGCCCACCATTCTCTGGGGCTCTTTGCTTGGGTTTTTGAGGAAAAAAAAGAACACATTTGATCCCTGAGCAGCCCATGTATCAGCTGTCTTTGGGCATCCCCCACTAGTCCAGTAGTCCGTTCATCGGGGTCATGTAGCACACACATGGTTGACCAGGCCATGGGTGGGAGTGGGTCTCAGAAGAGTGGGTGTGGGCTGGGCAGGTGCCCCAAAACATGCCTCTTATGGGTACGTGGAGCAGCTGTTTCACAGGCTAATCGGTTAAAGCTCACACAAGGCCACCCAGCCAGGGAGAGGTGACTCGGGTGTCTGTCCGCTGCTTTTTGGTCACTTCTAATGAAGAGGGGATGCCCAAAGCCCTGAGCATTGATTAGCTCCCTGAGGCCACGAGGCTCTGGGGAAGGAGCCAGGCAAGAGGCTGGGTTTCAGTGGACCCCACGGTGAGCACTGAACTAGACCCTGGAGTGGAGAGGAATTAAGACACTTGGGGACTTCCCTGGTGGCTCAGTGGTTGGGAGTCCACCTGCCAATGCAGGGGACACGGGTTCGAGCCCTGGTCCGGGAAGATCCCACATGCCACGGAGCAACTAAGCCCGTGCGCCACGACTACTGAGCCCACGTGCCACAACTACTGAAGCCCGCGTGCCTAGAGCCCGTGCTCCGCAACAAGAGAAGCCACCGCAATGAGAAGCCCGTGCACCGCAACGAAGAAGTAGCCCCTGCTCTCCGCAACTAGAGAAAAACCGTGCGCAGCAACGAAGACCCAATGCAGCCAAAAAAAAAAAAAAAAACAGGGCTTCCCTGGTGGCGCAGAGGTTGAGAGTCCACCTGCTGATGCAGGGGACACAGGTTCGTGCCCCGGTCTGGGAAGATCCCACATGCCGCGGAGTGGCTGGGCCCGTGAGCCATGGCCACTGAGCCTGTGCGTCCGGAGCCTGTGCTCCACAACGGGAGAGGGCACGGCAGTGAGAGGCCCGCGTACCGCAAAAAAAAAAAAAAAATTTAAAAATAACAATTCATATTCACTACTTAGCAAAGTATGTGTAATTGAGAGATTTGTTCATTTGGGGTTTCATAAAAGGTTAGCTGATTTGTTGACGTTAAAAGAGCATTAACCTAGAAGCCATGTTTAAATAACTGAATATTTTCCAAAATCTAGCATGTGCTCCCAGGGGCTGGAGGCCTGGTGAGGATCTTGACACATTGGTGGGCTTGTGACATGTCCAATGACTGTGGCCTTAAAGGAATTTAGGTTGAGTGTGGCCAGATCTGCTTTCTAAAATAAACAATCCAGAAACCTGAATTTTGGGGAAGTCTCTCAATTTTTTGCATATTGGCAACAGTCTTAAAATTTTAAAACACTGAGGGCCAAACTTAACCAGATTTATGGGCTTGATTCAGTGAGAGGGTTGTCACTTTTCAACATCAAAAGAAGTCCCTTGGGCTTCCCGGGTGGCGCAGTGGTTGAGAGTCCGCCTGCCGATGCAGGGGACATGGGTTCGTGCCCCGGTCCGAGAAGATCCGACATGCCGTGGAGCGGCTGCGCCCGTGAGCCATGGCTGCTGAGGCTGCACGTCCCGAGCCTGTGCTCCACAACGGGAGAGGCCACAACAGTGAGAGGCCCACATACCGCAAAAAAAAAAAAAAAAGAAGTCCCTTATTTGAGAGGTAATATCACAGAAGCCCAGGGCAGAGAGGGAGCAGTTGCAGAAGGACAGACAGGCCTGGGGGATCTTTCCAGGCCAGACAGGTGGTGCTTCCCTTCACTGAGAGGTTAGTGGCTTGCCCAAGAGAGCAGAAGCTCATGTAGACTCTGAATTCCCTTTCAGCACGGGAGAATTCTCTCCTCCAGTTGCTGGGAAGGTTGTCCACTGACAGCTCGCAGCTATGCACCTTCTCTGGAAACTGGTTTCACTCCAGAAAGTTGCCTCCACAAGATACACCCCTTTCTCAGGGCAGCTGGCATCCAATGAACCCCCAATCCACCTCACTTTGTCCTGAAGGGCCAGCCCCGCTCTGAGCTCCCCACGGGGTGGGCTGAGGCCTTCGTTGAGACCGCATGGCAGGGAGACCTCTCCCTCCATCCCGTCCAGCCTGTCTCTTCCCCACACGCTGTCGATACCGCGGGCTCTCCCTGCAGGCTAAGCTCTAACTCTGCTCCGGCCCCCCTGGAACATGACCTGTGACCCTTAGCGCCCCTCTGTCTCTTTTCTGTGTCCCAAGTAAGTGTATTTTAATGAGCAAGGCCAACCTAAGATAGTAGCAATTTTTTTTTAATTAATTTATTTTATTTTATTTATTTTTGGCTACGTTGGGTCTTCATTGCGGTGCGCGGGCTTCTCATTGTGGTGGATTCTCTTGCTGCGGAGCACAGGCTCTAAGCTCGCGGACTCAGTAGTTGTGGCACACGGGCTTAGTTGCTCCGTGGCATGTGGGATCTTCCAGGACCAGGGCTTGAACCCGTGTCCCCTGCATTGGCAGGGGGATTCTTAACCACTGCGCCACCAGGGAAGCCCGATAGTAGCAATTTTTGATGAAGACATTTTCCTCAGAGATTTTTCTTCAAGAGATCTAATTTGAACAGAGCCTCCCTTTACACACACCTATTCAAAACACAGGGTCTAACGAAAACGTGTAAAAGCCACACAGGAACCTCTTTTTTTCAGGCCAGCATAATCTTTTTTTTTGGGGGGGATATAATCGACATATAACATTATACTTGTTTAGAGTATACAACATAATGATTTGACCTTTGTATATATTGTGAATGATTGCAACAAGTCCAGTAAACATCCATCAGCACTCATAGTTACAAAACATTTTTTTCCTTATGATGAGCACTTTAAAATCCACTCTCTTAGCAAATTTCAAGTATACAATACGATATTATTATTATTATTTTTTTTTTTTTTTTTCGGTACGCAGACCTCTCACTGTTGTGGCCTCTCCCGTTGCAGAGCACAGGCTCCGGACGCGCAGGCTCAGCAGCCATGGCTCACGGGCCCAGCCTCTCCACAGCATGTGGGATCTTCCCGGACAGGGGCACGAACCCGTGTCCCCTGCATCGGCAGGCAGACTCTCAAACACTGCGCCACCAGGGAAGCCCACAATACGGTATTATTAACTATAGTCATCATGCTCTACATTACACCCCCAGGACTTATCTTTTATAACTGCAAGTTTGAACCTTCTGACCCCCTTTACCCATTTGCCCTGATACTTTCGACTCCCCATCCCTGTCAACCATCAATAAGTTCTCGGTTCTCTGTATCTATGAGCTTGTTTTTTTGTTTTTGTTTTGTTTTAGATTCTACATGTAGATGAGATTATACAGTATTTGTCTTTCTCTGACTTATTTCACTTAGCATAATGCCCTCAAGGTCCGTCCATGTTGTCCCAAATGGCAAGATTTCATTCTTTTTCATGGCTGAATAATATTCCGTTGTATATCTATACCATATTTTCTTTATCCATTCATCCATCCATGGACACTTAAGTTGTTTCCATGTCTTGGCTATTGTAAATAATGCTGCAGTGAACATGGGGGTGCATATATTTTTTGAGTTAGTGTCTTCATTTTCTTCAGGTAAATACACAGAGGAGGAATTGCTGGATCATACAATAGTTCTATTTTTAAATTTGAGGAACCGCCATACTGCTTTCCACAGTGGCTGCACTAATTTACATTCCCACCAACAGTGCACAAGGAGTCCCTTTTCTCCACATCTTTGTCAACATTCGTTAACTGTTGTCTTTTCAATAAAAGCCATTCTGACAGGTGTGAGGTAATACCTCACTGTGGTTTTGATCTGCAGAGAGCCTCCTGGAATGCTTGTTCAACAAACGAACTGCTTCTCCCTGCAAGTGTCAAACCTGAGTGAGTTTGCAATCCCTGTCGCCAGCATCCGATGAAACAATATTCCAGACTAGAATATTCTAGTCTTACAATTCTCATTGTAAGACTAGAGGCTAAGACCTGGGTCACAGTGTTTCTACCTGTGTTAGATGTCAGGATTCTCCAGAGGCCAGTCCTTGGAATCAACTCAGGAATTGATGGGAGTCATTTAAATAAACCAGGTTCAGGGAGAAAAAGGCACCGGTTGGTGGTGCTGGGAATTTTGCTTCTTTTGCCTAATGACTATATGAATAAAGTTACTCACTTGAATCTTTCTCTTCTAAGTCTAAACAGCCCACCTTGGAAGGGTTTATTTTATATAGCATCTTTGGAAGGACTATTCATTTTTATGAATAGTAATAACGATACTGGGGTGGATATCATAGGAGAGAGGGTCCAAGCAGGTGAGAATGAGAAGGAAAATGATCACGTTCCCCTATTACATTTGCAGATTCAAGGGGAATAGTTAAATATCAACTGAGATCGGGATGACAGCTATTACATATTTTCCCAGGGCTGCTATTAAATAAATATTAAATATTTATTTAATAAATTTATTTTATAAATAATAAATTATCAATTTAATTTATTTAATGCAATCATGAACTTAATTTAATAAATGGATTTATTTAATAAATAAAATTATTGAATAAATTTATTTATTTATAATTAAATATTAAATACATATTGCTTCCTCCTCAGCTCCACTCACTACCTCTTTTACAGTGTCTACCTGTGAACCAAAGCTCAGGTGAAAGAAATTAAGGAGTAATATAAATTCTGAAGGTACTTAAGACAATGTTGTAATATGGTATCATTTCAGGACCAGAATCTTCTGGTCTTGGCCTGCACGTGTTTTCAGGATCAGAACAAGAAGAACATTTGCCGTCTTCCCACTTAATGACCTCAAAAGTAAACATCTACCCTTTTCAGACTCTCCCACTACAAACCAAGCCGGCTCTCTTCCCCAGCCCCCCATCCTCTCCAAGTCATAGTGGAAAGTGCAAGAGTTTTAAAGACGGGGTTTGACTTTTGCAAACAGGAAGTGTGGATGAAAGCAAAGCTAAGTCAGGTATAGAGTAAAACAAATTTAATCTGTCCAAAGCTGAGAACAATTAGTTCCAAATATTTCTAAATTTTTTTCTTGAATAAGGGGGTCCTTATTCTGAGCGAAGAATTCGAACTGGTAGACGGGTTTCTTGGAAAGGATGATACTCAAATTTCTCTTAGTAACAAACCCTTTAGGAAAAAGGGAATGCATTTAGCAAGGGAAGGAAAGAAATGGTACATACTATTTTGATTTTGAGACCTAGGAAGATATGATTGTGTAACTGGTTTAGCATTCTGGGGTGGAAACATCCTGAAACCATGGTATATGATAAATTTGGTCCCCTTTCTGAAAGGGTTACAGCCTGGGAAAGAGCTGTTATTCTAGAAGTTTGGCCTGTTACTTGATAAAGCTGAGTTTAAGAGTAATAGGGAAAAATACCCTTAGAAACCAGTAAGAAAATGTCAAAATATTCAAAATAAAAATAGGCAATTAAAAAAGTTAAAAAAAAGAGTAGTAGGGAAAAATAAAATCTAACAATTCTTTTAAAATAAATAATAAATAAAAATAAACGCGCTCTCCCTCCTCCACCGCTGCCGCCTCCCTCTTCTGCGGCTCTCGGTGCTGCTTGTGTGCTCGTTCCGTGTGGACCTCGTCCCTCTTTTGGGAAGCGGCCGCAGGGGAGACTCCTGCGCTTGCCATGGCCGTGGCCGAGGAAAAGCCCGAGGAAGGAGTCAAGACTGAGAACAACGATCGTATTAATTTGAAGGTGGCGGGGCAGGATGGTTCCGTGGTGCAGTTGAAGATTAAGAGGCATACACACTTAGTAAACGAATGAAAGCCTATTGTGAACGACAGGGTTTGTCAATCAGGCAGATCAGATTCCGATTTGATGGGCAGCCAATCAATGAAACAGACACACCCTGCACAGTTGGAAATGGAGGATGAAGATACAATTGATGTGTTTCAGCAGCAGACAGAAGGTGTCTACTAAAAACGGAACCTGCTACTTTACGCCAGAATTCTGTTCCTCCGGACCAAGAAGACATTCTCAATTAGAAAACCGTAATTTGGTTCCACCACATCCTGACTACTACAGTATAATTTCTCTATTCTTTCATTTTCCCCTTCCCCATTCCTTTATTGTACCTAAAGTAACTGGTGTATGTGCACAAGCATACTGCATTTTTTTTTTTAACTAAATGGCCAACGGTATGTTTCGATCGACATCAAATGGAGATGGAATGGAGAAAAATACTGGTTCTGTGAAGATACCCCCTTTTCTCCATTAGTGGTATGCTCGTCAGCTCTTATCTTTATATTCCAGTAAGTTATTTTGCTCTCACTGTTTAACAAAAAAAGAACAACATAGGGCTTCCCTGGTGGCGCAGTGGTTGAGAGTCCGCCTGCCAATGCAGGGGACACGGGTTCGTGCCCCCGTCCGGGAAGAACCCACCTGCCGCGGAGCGGCTGGGCCCGTGCGCCATGGCCGCTGAGCCTGCGCGTCCGGAGCCTGTGCTCCGCAACGGGAGAGGCCACAACAGTGAGAGGCCCACGTACTGCAAAATAACAACAACAACAACAACAGAAAAAAAAGAACAACATAAAAATTCTTGCAAGCCTTGTTCGACTGGAGAATTTTAATGTTTTTCATTTATCATTGTAAGACCAAGGACAATTTTATAATTTTCTTGAACGTAGCTGTTACATGTAGGGCAACCTGTCTTTAAGTAGGGATAAACTACTCTAAAAGAAATGAGTGCTAGATAGTTTTCCCTTCAAGTCAAGCGTCTTGTTATTTAAATAAACTTCTTGTTTAAAAGAAAAACAAACTGAGCGCGCCTCCTGAAATGCCCCTTATTTTCATTATTTCCCATGAAGTGGGTGTAGTAGGAAGAATAAAGGCCTCCAAAGATGTCCATTGTCTAATCCCTAGAATTTGTGACTATGTTATGTTACGTGGCAAGGAGGAGCTAAGATTGCACATGGAATGAGGCTGCTGATCAGCTGACTTTGGAATGGGGAGATTATCCTGGATTATCCAGGTGGGCACAATATAATCACGAGGGTCCTTAAAAGCCTGTGCAGGAGGCAGCACAGGCGCAGTGTCAGAGTGACGCAGCATGAGAAAGATGCCGTTGGCCAGAGCTGGCTTTGAAGGTGGAAGGGACCCATGCGCCAAGGAATATGGGCAGCCTCAACAAACCGGAAAAGGGAAGAAAACAGATTCTCCCCGAGAGTCTCGAGAAAGGAATGCAGCCCTGCCCACACCCTGATTTTAGCCCCGTGAGTCCCATTTCAGACTTCTGACCTCCAGATAGTACATTTGTGTTGTTTCACTAAGTTTGTAGTAATTTGTTACGGCAGCAGTAGGAAAGTAATGTAGAAGGTCAGTCAAGTAGAAACAAAATTCACTTACGAAACTTCTTATTTAGTTTTTAAAATAATATTGATACCATCAAGGTACACAGCTGTTTTTTGCTCAGATATTTTGTTCCACGTGACCCACTTCTACAAAGTACCAGTTAGTCCTGTTTTGTACGCATTTTTTCTTTGGGATAAAAACTAGTGTTTATTACATGAAACACTTTTTTTTTGACCAGGAGGGATTATTTTGTCCTTTATTAGCTGGCTTTTAGAAATGATTTACAACAATGTCCAAGCTCTTTATTTCCAATAAGGAATTATCTTGGAGTAGCGAATAGTGGAAAAATGGTTGTGAGCCTTTTATATTTCCATCAGCTGTCCCCAGATAATATAGGTGTGATAAATGAATTCATGGGGAAAAATGCCTGGGTAGCTGCAATTTATAATGTTTTTCAGTTACTAATTTATATGTTAGAACGCAGGGGTTTGATCAATCAAAGAGAATCATTTGCAATAACAGGGATTCTAAGAGCCTGGGATGTTGCTTCCTACATAGCACAAGTTTTGAGATGATAAAAGCAACACTTGTTTTAGAAGGATAAAAAGAAAAAAAAATGTAAATGCTGAGAGGAATGAATAATGCAGCTGTTGAAAGGCACCTATAG